AGGAGGTAACTATGGGGAGGAAGTGGGAGGGGAGCTGCTGCATTATAAATTTTGGTCAATGACATGAGACAAAGTGTATGTGAACTGCTGTATGAAAAGTGAATTTGCTCTGTAAATCTTCACCCAAATCCTAAAAAAAAAAAAAAAATATCATCACTAGAAGAGCAAGAACCTGGCTTTGTCATTCAGGGCCATATATGATTATTCTTGTTTTGCACACCATCACACCTGTCTCCTTAAATTTTAAAATAAAAGTTGGAATGCCTATTAAATGTAAAGGATCCATCAGGTTCCAGAAGGGGCAGGAGAGAATATGAAAATAGGAATAAAATTCAGGTCCACCCTTTAGGAGCTTATACTTCTGTAAGAGACCTGAGATGTGACCTGTTAGTTGCTGTGGAGTTGGTTCTGACTCATGGGGACCCTTTGTATAAAATAACTAACCATTGCTCAGTTCTGCACCATTTTCCTGTTTGAGACCTTTGCTGCAGCTATTGTGCAGTGACTTCCAATGTCAGGGGTTCATCTTCGGCACTATATTGAACAATGTCCTGTTGGGATCTGTAAGGTTTTGATTGGCTGATTTGTGAAGTAGATTACCAAGCCTTTCTTTCTGGTATATCTTAATCTGAAAGCTCTGCTGAAACTTGGCCAGCATGAGTGACCCGACTGGTGCTGGAAAGACCAGTGTCACAGCTTCCAGCATCACAGCAACACGCAAGCCACCATGGTGGAGGAGATGTGACTATGAGAAACCCACTGCCATCTAGTTGATTCCAACTTGTATCGACCCCACAGGGCAGAGTAGAACTGCCCCGTAGAGTTTCCTAGGCTCTAAATCTTTGTGGAAGCAGACTGCTTCATCTTTCTCTTGTGGGGTGGCTGACCTTTCCTTTAGTAGCACAGTGCTTTAACCACAGTGCCACCAGAGTTCCTTGAGATGTGATTACTAATACCTAAAATACAAATAGGAAATGAATAATGTAATGTAATAAGAGAGTTAGAAATAGAGGCACAGGTGTTCTCCTTCCAATTGGGAGGCTCAGAGAAGTCTTTGTGGGCAAGTGGCTTTTTAAACAGCCTGTGCAGAATAGCTGGGATTTGGACATACAGGAATGAGAGGAATGGGGATTCTGGGTTTGTAAACAAGAGCCTGCAGGCTGGGAAACATGGCATCAGTGCTTGGTTGTAGGGTAAGATGTGTGAAGGGCAGTAGAAGGCAAGGTTGAAGTAGTAGGTTGTGGTAAGCTCCTTAACACTTTGAAATACAGTCTAAAATGTTTATTTACTGCACAGTGAGAAGCCATCAAAGGGGGAGTGTTTGAGCAGTGGAGTCATGTGATCAGGGATCTGTGGCAGGATTGGTCTGTCAGTAGCTCAGGTCCAAAACCCAGGAGGCTTCCTTGATTCTTTTCATTTCCTCACATCTCATGTTCAAACAATCAGTATGTTCATTTCCTCACATCTCATGTCCATATAATCCCGCAAGCTCTGGCTCCATCTAAATTCCAAATCCATCTGTGTCTCTTTTCCTCCACAGCCACACTTGTAGTCTAGACCAGGGGTTGGCAACTACTGATTTAGAGAACCAAGCTTTTTTTTGGCAATAGGACCTTGGGCTGAAAGACAGGAATGGAAGGAGATACATAGTTCTGTTTACATCCTTCTATCTAAAATGTTAATATGTGTTTAGTGCAGCATAGGGGTGGGCATTTGTGGTTCAGAGGTAGAATTATTGCCTTCTATGCAGGAGACACAGATTCAATCCTGGCCAGTGCACCTCACATGCACCTACCAGCCATCTGTCAGTGGAGGCTTGCATTTGCTATGATGCTCAGTAGGTTTCAGAAAAGCTTCCAGACTTAGACTGACTAGGAAGAAAGGCCTGGCAATCTACTTCTTGAATTTGTTCTTGTTGTTAGGTGTTGTCAAGTCAGTTCTGACTCAGGGACCCCATGTACAATGGAACAAACTACTGCCTGGTCCTATGCCATCCTCACCATCACTGCTCTGCTTGAACCCATCGCTGCAGCCATTATGTCAATCCATCTCGTTGAGAGTCTTCCGTTTTTTTGCTGACCATCTGCTTTATCAAGTATGATATTCTTCTCCAGGGACTAGCCTCTCCCCACAATATGACCAAAGTACTAGTGGCGAAGTCTCACCATCCTCATTTTTAAGGAGCATTCTGGCTGTCCTTCTTTCAAGGCAGATTTCTTTGTTCTTCTGGCACTATTCACTATTCTTTATGAACACGATAATTCAAATTCATTGATTTCTTCTTCAATCTTCCTTATTCATTGTCCCGCTTGCACATGCATATGACCTACCATCATCAAGTCTACTCTGACTTATTTTGACCCTACAGAATAGAGTAGAACTGCCCCATAGGGTTTCCATGGCTGTAAATCTGTATGGAAGCAGACTGTCTCATCTTTCTCCTGTGGAGCAGCTGGAGGAGTCTAACCACCAACTTTTTGATTAGCACCCAAATGCTTTAACTACAGCACCACCAGAGCTCCTACTTACATGCATATGAGGTGACTGAAAATACCATGTCTTGGGTAAGGTGCACCTCAGACTTTGAAATTGACACCTTTGCTCTTTAACACTTTAAAGAGGGTGGTTTGCTGCAGATTTGCCTGATGCAGTACATCCTTCCATTTCTTGACTTCTGCTTCCATGGGTGTTGATTGTGATTCCTAGTAAAGTGAAATATTCGACAACTTTAATCTTTTATCTTTAATCTTTAACTCTTTGTCATGATGCTGCTCATTGGTCCTGTTGTGAGGATTTTTCTTTTCTTTATGTTGAAGTACAATTAATACTGAAGGTTGTAGTCTTTTATCTTCATCAGTAAGTACTTCAAATCTTTTTCACTTTCAGCAAGGAATGTTGTACTCTGCATATTGCAGGTTATCTATGAGTCTTCCTCCAATCCAGATGCCATGTTGTTCTTCATATAGTCTAGCTTATCAGACTATTTGCTAAGCATACAGATTAAATGAGTATGGTGAAAGAATGCAACCCAGACCCACACTCCTGATTTTAAACCATGCAGTATCCTCTTGTTCTGTGGAACCACTGCCTCTTGGTCTATGTACAGGTTCCTCATGAGCACAATTAAGTGTTCTGGAATTCCTGTTCTTCACAATGTTATCCATAATTTGTTATGATCTGCACAGTCTAATGTGTTTGTATACTCAATAAAAGACAGGTAAACATCTTTCTTGTATTCTCTGCTTTCAGCCAAGATCTGTTTGACATCAGCAGTGACATCCCTCATTTCTCTTCTGAATCTGTCTTGAACTATCTGAAAATTAGCCAATGAAATCCCTAGGGGTCACAATAGTCCAAGCTGTGACTGACCATGGAGATGGCACAGGACCAGGCAGTGTTTCTTTTGTTGTGCAAGGGGTTGCCGTGAGTTAGGGGCCAACCTGATAGCAACTAACAACAACAACTTAATGTAGCATTTTGCCTTAGTCAGCAATGATACTAATGTGATCCAAGTTTCTACTTGTACCTCTGTGATCTCGGACTCACATACATTTGCATCTACTCTCTCCACTTGTATCATAAGTCCATGTAATTACATACTAAACTTGACATTTTTATTGACCTATGACATACAAATACAGTACAGATGCACGTACCATGAGGGTACAGCCCTATGAGCCTATGAGCTGTCACAAGCTGAACTCACCTCAGCATCTGGACATGGCTTCATTCCAACTCATCACTCCAAGGGCACCTTGACTTCTGATAGCAATAATAGTTAAAAATATATTTTTATTATGAATAATTTTCAAAGATACACCACAGTAGAGAGGACAGCACAATGAGCCCCATTGTATACTTCACTAGTTTCAGTCATTACTAATATTTTGCCATTCATGCTTTATTCTTTCTTTCAAAAATATTAGTTGTATGCCCACTTTCTAAGCTTTAACTTGTGCTTCCTTATTTGTAAAATAGGATGAATAATAAAACAAGTAGATTCTGACTCATAGTAACCCCATAGAGGTGTGCTGCATGGGATATCCAATTGCTACTTTTTGGAATAAAAAAAACGCCAATTCTTTCTTCTGAGGCACTGCTGGGTAAAATTGAAATTCCAGCCTTCCAATCAGCAGATGACTACAGTGACCATTTGCACCACCCAGGGATAGCTGGAATATAATACTTCTAGTATCTTAATTATATTAATGTAATTAATGATAATATAAGAATAACAAGACCTACAGAGTTAGTTCATCATACAGTTGTTGAGAATTAAAAGAATTTATATGTGTGAGTGTATATGTATGTATCTTAGAAGAGTACATAGTAAGCATCCAATACATGTGAACTGTTATCATCATCATCATCATCATCATTGTATGAAGAGGAAACTAATGAACCAGGCCTCTCTCTTCCTTTCCCTAGGTTTACGCTGTGGTGGTAATTGCATCTGTGGTGGGATTTTGTCTGCTGGTAATGCTGTTTCTGCTTAAGTTAGCAAGACATTCCAAGTTTGGCATGAAAGGTAAGAAGGGTTATGTTTATTTTACTTATGTGGATGCATTTTTGGCTTATGACTAATGCTAATTACCAGTAAAGAAGGAAGAAGCTAAATTTACGACGACTAGGTTTTAAGGCTGAAAAAATAGCAACAAGGATATCACACTGTAAATCAAGACAGAGCAAAATAATGTTGATTACTCAGCACTGCTCACTTTCCAATGGGGACAATTGGCCCAGAAGACACAGACCTGATTTCTTGAGTATCAGATGACAACAGTGATAGGGGCAGATGGTGCTTGACATTCCCTTTTTACAGAAAGCAGGTGGAGATCACTAGGGACACACATACTTTGTGCGGAAGGGCCCTTTCTGATCAACCTTGACTTCCAGATCTTCAATGGCATGCTTCTGGTTACTGCTGTTGCTTTTCTAAATCAGCATCTTTTGACATTTAAACAACAGAGTTGGGAAGAATAATGCAACCAGTCGTTGGTAGTACATTGAAGCTTTGTAAATGGGTGGCTTTTTTTTTTTAATGTGGAAAATTTCTCACTTCTGGATTAAAAATGAAGGACTGTGTTGTCCCAAAATAGATAATTGATCTCTTTTAGAGGATTAAAAATACTTGTATAGATGCTGTTGTGAAATACATAGCTGAGAGTTTCAATGACTTAAAAGAGTTGTTCTTTTTGTGTGGTTTCTTAAATAGCCGAGGATAGCTGTGAAGATGGTTTAGTAGTGTGTTTTATTATTTGTGTTGGAGTGCAAGCCTGGTAGGTTATCTTTATCTGGTGTTCTATTACAATGATTATGAATGTTACTTGTTTACTTGGAAGGCAATGTTTGAGTAGCAGTCAGTTGCCTGGCAAACATTGGGCTCTGAGGTAGATAAGATCTACTTCTGCTGTTTCCTCCTCTCCCTTTGTGGGAGTCTGTGACCAAGATCCTAAACCAGAAATGAACAAGGAGGAGCAGTGGCCAACTGAACTTTAAATACTCCCAAACTTCTTTTTGACTAGCTTTGGCCTACTGATCCTTGGCATCTCTTCAAGAAGAGGAAAATTCTTTCATTTTCCAATTTTAAGTAAGGCTTGGGAGAGGGACTACTACAGCGCAGTGATTTTAATTCATTATACCATAGTTTTTCTCAAACTTGTCTGTGCATTAAATCTCCTTGAGGACTTGTTAAAACAGGTTGTTGGACCCACCCCTTGAATTTCTGGTTTAGTCGGTCTCGGTAGGCCTGAGAATTTGCATTTCTAATAGTTTCTAAGAGATGCTGCTGTTGCCCAAGGCTTCTTTGAGAATCACTGCTGTATGGGATCAACAAGGGTTATTCACTCTTTCTAAAAACAACAAGATGTAAGGGTATTGCAAATCAATTACACCATCTGCTTCACAGGCTTTTCTGGGTCCTGAAGTTTAGCTGATACCCAAGTCTGGTCTAGGCTACTGCTTTCTACACAGCCAGCTACCTTCTATGGCATTTTGTTTTTCTCAACTTTATCAGGTGCTTTCTTTCCTTAGAGGCACTTGGAATGGCCATTCCCAACCATAGATTCTACCAGAGCAAGCCAGGGCCTAACAGTATAGCTTTGTTTTCTTAAGTGATTTAATTTGAGCTCTTTTTATCTGATACCTTCTGGGAGAGAATGTGTCCAGGTCCTTCTGGGAGCTCAGCAAAAGTTTTGGGAATGCTTAGAGCAAAATTTGGGAGTCTTTCTCAATTCTTAGTTTTGGAAAACAACTGGAAGAATTATCTGTAAATATTAACATACTCACTGTAGTGCAAAGATGGGGGAAATACAAGGTAGATAGTTTGTTTCATAGGTGATTATATTTCAGGTTGAGTCTCCTGGAACTAAGACTGAAACAATACTTTATTTGGATAAGATTACCACTGAAACAGGAATTCTGGTAGCATAGTGCCTAAGGCACTTGACTGCTAACCAGAAGGCTGGCGGTTCAAACCCACCAACCACTCCTCGGAAGGAAGATGGGGCAATCTACTGCCTTGGAAACACAAGGAGGAGTCGCTATGAGTTGGGTCTGACTCGACGGCACATAACAACAACCACAACCACTAAAACACCTACATTTTTCAGTATAGCCCAAGGATGTTCTTAATGAGTTATAAGAAAGGTTTTGCTTAACCAGTAAATGACTTTCTTCAGACTGTATCTATATTTTATAATATAGAATGTTTTTCTCCCTTATTCCTAAACATAAATAAAATAGTTTTAAGAAATTTTGTCTCGGAGACTCATGTTACTATTTAGAATAACTAATTTTTCTGTTTTTAGCTGCAAGTCTGTCTGTGCAATGATTTAAGCAAAATGGGTCTGCGTTGAGGTTATGGATTTACAAGTCAGATGCTGAGTTGATAATCTTTGGGGATTTAGAAGTTAAGATGAGGTTCCTGCAATGAGTGCAAATGAAATTGGATAAAAAGTGGTGTTTAAAAATTAATGCAAGTTATTGTACTTTAAATGCTATCAGAACTAGGATTATTGCTGAGGAACCTAAGTCTTAAAAAGGGAAGAATATGTGAAAATACTATTATCGAGTCGGATCCAACTCATAGCGACCCCTTCTTGGGTTTCTGAAGCAGTATCATTATGGAAGTAGATTGCCCAACCTTCCTTCCAAGGAGCGACTGGTGGATGTGAACTGCCAGCCTTCTGGTGAGCAGTCAAATGCCTTCGGCATTACACCATCAGAGCTCCCATATTTCTGGAGGTAACTATGAAATTTGTTGGTGGTGGTTCCGAGTAATAGTACTATGAAATTTCTGTAGCCTTGGACAGAACTGTAGACATTATGAGAGGGACCAATGTTTGGTATGCAAATGAACTATTCCAAATGAGACTTTTGCCTTCATAAGTATCTTTGAGGAGAGTCTACTTCTATCCTTATTTTTTATCATGGAGACAAATTAAGACTGAAAGACTTCTCTAGTCTACCTTTACGTGCTTATAGCTTTTTGCTCAATGGTAGAAGCACATCAGAGTCCCTGGATGGTTTAAATGGTTAACAACTCAGCTGCTAGCTGAAAAGTTGGAGGTTCGAGTGTACCCAAAGATATCTTAGAAAAAAGACTCGGTGACTGGCTTGTAGAAAGTCAGACATTGGAAACCCTGTGGAGCACAGTTCTACCTGACATGCATGAGGTCACTATGAGTTGGAGTCTACTCAATGACAACTGTGAAAACAAAACAAAAACAAAACATTGTATCATAGTCCAGTGTTCAGTGTCAACTGTTTCAATCCTTGAGAGCAGCCTCGGGATTAAAACTGCAATTTAATGCTGTTGATATGAAGGATCCTGAGTAACACAAACCAACCAGAAACCTCTTAAAATCACACTAAAGTTAAGTGCAGGGCAACTCAAGCTTTGTAGATTGACCTGAAAACCCAAACATTATTTGTGGCATTGCTTCTAGGGGAAGATAATCTCTAAATCTCAAACCAGTGAGTTAAACCTAATTTTAGAATTCAGCCACTGAGTTGTGTTATATTCATTGCAGATGGGTCTTTATGATCATTAGCTTTATAAAGGTTTTTTCTCTGTTCTGTTGATTCTTTGAAAACAGAAAGCTGATGGTGCAATCCAGGCTTGGTAGAACAGACAGTGATCTTTAGGAAGATAGCATTCATTTTTGTTTGCTCATCATTACTCTCCCAGTGACTAGCCCAGAGTTGGTACTCAGTAAATACTAATCAACTGATGAATGACCAGAGAGAATTTGCAACTTCATTCGCTTTATGTTGTTAATTTGAAAACAGTATTTGGAGGACAGCTAATACGTGAATGTTAAAGAGAGACCCTATGACTTTTCCATGTTTCTAAATGCACCTATGCACCTCTCCCCTACTTTTTCTCAATTATTTCAGATGATAGGTCAGTTTGTTCAGGTCTTATCTTAGGGCATCTAGGACATGTATGGCCTCAGAATATGTGTCTTTAGTGCCGAAGCAAACAGATATGCTAGATAATAGTGTACTTCTAGGTGTTAGCCTCAGATTTATTTTTCAATACCTATTGATGCTTTTTTTTTGAAGCTCCTGGGTGGTGCAAATGGCTAAAATACTCAGCTGCTAACCAAAAGTTTGATGGTTCAAGTTCACCCAAAGGTGACGTGGAAGAAAGGCCTTGAGCTCTACTTCTGAGAAACCAGCCACTGAAAACCAGTTTTATCCTGACACATATGGGGTCAACATGACCTGGGGCAGTATGAGTCAGAGTCAATTTGATGGCAACTTGTTAAATTTAATTGATATATTTTAAGCTTCTTGTTGCTAGTGTTCCAGCCCTATTTCAGCAAATACGTCAAGAGGCAGAATTTATCTCAGTCCATTTTTCCACATTCATTTCTATGCCTTTACACCTTCCTGTTGGTGTTTGGCTAAGACACTTGCCTGCTAACCAGACGGCTGGCGGTTCAAACCCACCAGCCACTCCTCGGAAGGAAGGTTGGGCAATCCTACTTCCGTAGTGATACTGCCTCGGAAACCCAAGGAGGGGTCGCTATGAGTCGGGGCCGACTCGACGGCACACAACAACAACAACAACATTGGTGTTTGGTTGAACAGTGAGTTACCATAATTGCAAAAGCCCTGAATAAAGCTGCTGTGATAGTACTTGGCCAGCTGTTTAGAGATTATTCTTAAGTGTGCTTTATATACCCACTGCCATCGAGTCAATTCCGACTCATTAATATGGATGCAAAAAATGTATAACAAGTCTATGCATCAATAACCCTATACTTAAATGCATAATTTGATCTTTCTTCTTCTAAGATCTGCCTGTTACTTATTTTAATTTTAATTTTCACTGAAATAGGGCTTTCATCGACATGAGCTCAAAGAATTTTCCAGAGCAACTTCATTGCCAAAGGAATAGGCATACCAGGCTTTTGAATGTTCACACTTGTGTTGCAACCAAGCCTTGTGTTTAGCTCTCACATTGCTTCCTGGCTCTCTTTCTTCATTGAAGATGGAGAAGTACATATGAGGGGAAAT